AATGATGTGATGAGTCTGGAGGTTATTGGGGCTTGAGGAGTGAGAAGGAGAAAGGGAAGGGACTCGAGACACTTATTTGGAGTGTGTGTTGCTCGATTTCGTTTTCTTCCGTGGGTGGTGATGGGGACTCTACTTGCATACTATATTTATAGCGAGTGGTAGGGGCGTGGGGAAGCAAGTATATCCAGACTCAATCGGATATAATATCTTTACGCAACTTGAACCGGGCTACCCAGTGGAATATCACTGCAGCATATGATTTTCGTCTTCGCATATTCCTAAGTCTGGATATGACATATGAGCTAGCTGCATTGATGCCGCTTGCTTTCATACAACTCAGTAATAGTCATGGGCTCGAAGCCACCTTAATGTACAACATGAAAGACATTGTCTTTGGACTTCCTCGGAATGCCGTGTGTACTGCTGGAGATCCACATCATAGATCATTGCAGACCCCTGGACACACAAGACTTAGACGTCTAGTCCACATGGTAGCCAGTCGCAGCCTCGCATCTGTATATTCTTAGCCACAAGCCCAAACCTCATGCATCATGGTAGCAGATAGGTTTCACTCACGGATCAGCTGCGTACTGAACGTTGCACTGCTCGAACTCGATCTCGCGGACGAAGGCGGCACGGAAACGGACGGCGTCGTCGACACTGCAGAAACGGAACACGATGCTGCGGGCCTGGAGTTGATCTGGTCGGTTGAGGGAACTGCAGGCTAGAGGGAAGACAACTTACTTCGCCGGGGATGTAGGTGTCGATTATCTTCTCCAGCTTGCCGTTCTTGGAGCTCGCCAGATTGATTAACTGCTCCATATTGACATCCATCTGGGCTCCGACAGCACGGACAACACGAGTGGCCCCAACGGAGAGATTGAAGCTGAGACTGGAGCTGACAACGTCAACCTCTTGACCCATCTCCACAAACACCCCGAGCTTCTTCTCCCGGTCCAGGTTGATGCCGTTAGGGTATTTGTCATAGAACGCCTTGCAGGCATCGGCCTCACAGAACAGGATGCGGGCGGTGCCAGAGGAAGTCACATTGATGCTGTCGATGGCACCCCCGTGCACCAGCGAAAGGACCTTGGCAGGGCTACACCAGGCAGTGGGAAGACCCTTGATAATAATACGACGGATGCGAGCAGCTGAAAAGAGCATAGGGCGTTAGTCCTTCAGTTATGGACAAGGAAGTGGGCAGAGGGGCAGTACCGGGCTTGTCCCGAGGAGCTGGAGCACCCCAAGACTTGAAAGTAGTGAGGTTCTCGCAATCTTCCTCCTCCGAAGGGGTCTGGGCAGCAGTAACACGCTGCTTCTCCTGCTGCTTCACAGTATTGTCAGCTCCGTCCCAATCTGTGACCGACTTCTGAGTCTCGGGTCCGGCTTCAAAGTCTCCAACATCGGACTTGGGGGGAGCGAATCCATCGAAAGCGTCGTCACCGGGGATGCCGACTGAATGTACAGCTCAGCATCAGTCTGTGTGACTCTCAGGTTGAAGTGTGGGTGACCTACCGAAGTCGTCATCGCCAGCAGTCACGTTGTAATCTGTCGCGTTGGCGGAATCATCTTCATTACCTTGCTTGTCACTCGACACATCCCCAGCCTGAGCGGATGAGGTGAAGTAGTCTCTCTCCGGCTTCCAGGCGCGCGCAGCAGCCATGAAGCCGGCGGTGTCGTCCACATCAGCGACGGGATACATGTTTGCTACTTGGTTGTCTTTCTCTTCGGTGGTGTTTTGTTGGGTAAACAAGCTAGGGGAGGTATTTGGGAGTTCGGTGGAAGGGGATCGCAAGGAGGGAGGGATGAAGGGTGAATGAGAAGACGCTTTGAGTGCGTTGACAGAGTCAACGAGGGAGGTCCGCCGGTTGCCAGGTGAGATCTGAGAAGCCTGCTGGGTTTTCCCCCTACTTGTTAGTCTTTCACGAAACAGTCAGACTGGAACTGGAGCAGGCGGGAAGCAGAGCGCGAGATTTGAAACACGTAAGACTGGAGGAAGTCGAGAAGGAAGAGTGAGACGGACCGCATGGGGACGAGAGCCCTTCACTGTCGGCCACTTCGCAGCTTTTGGGGCATGCTGGCTTTCCTCAAGGCTGGCCAAGGACGCCCGATCCATAAGAGAATCAAGCACCCCGTAGATAACCCCTGTGACACGGTTGGCGAACTCCATGTCTCCAAAGGAGTGATGGTTTAAAAAGTGCAGGGCGGAGGAGGAAGCTGGTGACATATTGGCACAAGAAGAGAAGGCATGATCACCAACTTGGGAATTATCATACGGCTCGGTGTATCTAAAGAGCGAAGCTGGAAAGAGGGAATCTCCCCAAGCGAAGGCTACGGATTGAACTACGGGAGATTCTTTGTTGGGTGAGTCACCAGAGTTCTTCAAAGTGTTTGCAGCAGAAACTTTGCTGTGCGCGTTAGATATTTCTTGAGCTAATAGAGACGCGGGGGAGATGAGGCTTTCAAACCAGAACCCTCGGTGCAAGCAAACGCATAACCGGGCGGTGGAGGTTCACAACCGCAGAATGACTAGCACAGCAAGGATAATATTCATGTACTGATACGTGCCAGGTTTCAATAAAGACAACCTTAAGATGGCATCGGAATGGTTTCCCACCCCTTTTGTCCCTCTTCGCGATGCTCAACAATTACCTGAAGCCCGGGGCGTCCACAGAAGCCGTCCTTCCCTGCAATCCTATCGACTGTCTGGAACGAGCCACTGCCGTCTTCTTTTTCATCTGGAACCCAGACTGTCTGTTGTACATTTTGTCCCGGAATCTCATCTCGGCGAGGATTGAACCATGGTAGTCCAGCAAGTCGACTGATCAGATTTTGAATCAAGGAGTACAGTCTCTCAAAACGTCGAGTCGTGCCAAGCCAAGACAGAGTTTGGGGATCATATGCGACACGGACATATGGGTTCATATAAATGCCGCTGTCTTCCCCATCCGCCAGAGATTCCTGGATGTCGGCGTGGATGAGGCAGCACTCAGATGCTTCCCAGAACAATTCGTGTGAAGCACGAAACTGAGCCGGTGTTTCAACGCCCTGGTAGCTCTGGTTCTCCGGAGATTGCTGAAAAAACCGAGCGTCGAAAGCCACCATGCCTGACCAGCAACTGCGAACCCGCACGGCATCTTTCCCTGATAGCACATCCTGTCGACTTTGACCCTCTCCCGCAGTTGAGAACCAAGGGAAGATAGGAAGCCCCATGCTGTAACCCTGCAAATCCCGGGTCGCGTAAGTGTCATAGAACTTGAAAGGATTGATAAAATCGATAGCACAGGCTGCGCGATAGTGAGAAATGCCATCGTCCGCTACATTTGTAGAGAACAAGAGGTGAAGTGCGTCGACTGGGTTAAAGGCAACATCATTCAAGTACAGAAGCCTGTTGTATTGCACCTCATGCTGATCGCTCAAAGGCCGTAGTGCTCGGTTTCGAATTTCAGCCAAGTATTCGATCCGTTTCGTTCTCCTTGACCCATCGGGCGCCACGACCTTTGCAAGAGACTCTAGGTCGAGATGCTCTTCGAATACGATGGATTTCTTGCATGTGACCTGTGTCTCCAGGCCGCGAAGCGCCCGCTCGCCCTCCGTGCCGCTGTCATTCTCGTAGATACTCAAGAAGACATTGTCTGGCCCGAGCAGGTCAATTAGCCGTAGCACACTATCTCCCCAGTGTCCCTGCGCCAGGTCGCCATCGCGGTCGTACAAGCTCGCAGCGATGAAGACTTTCTCGTTGCGGGGATTTCCACGGCCGGGTTCAGTCGATTGCGACACTGCATCCCGAAGAGACAAATAATGTGGTGGCAGCCGAGTATACGAAGGTCGGAAGATTGACGTGAGGACGATAAGCGCAAGGATGATACCTGCAGCGGCATGGAGGCGAGGGCACCAGCGGCGGAACAGCAGGCGGCGGTAGCAACCACGGCGTGTGGAAGCCGATAGGAACGGTCGCGAAGGCTTCAGGCTACGATAGCCGGAATAGGTCGACGAGAACAGTCTCGATAGGAAAGGAACCTTTCTCAACATCTGTCCGGGGCGTGGAGGCACCTGCGATTCGAAATCGGCCTCATCGAGATTGAAGCTCTCCTGAGAGTCCGCTGACGAGCGAGTTTCTAGCTCATACTCATCTGGGTGAAGGAGACGGGCAGACATAACGAAGGAGAAACATCACAGAGCGGTGAATATTACCAATCGACCCATGCCTGGAATACGTCGTGCCAAATCAGCATCGATCGAATTGACGCTGGTTGCCATTTGGAGATACTTTGACCGATCGCCAACGCAACGCCTTCTGGAAGGAAGATCTCGATCTCGCTTATGTCATCCACCCCGTGACAAGGAGCACTCATACGTATGTGTAGTTATGGTTACAGAACAATTGGAGCATTGCGGTACTACCTATACTTACTAGAAGTGCCCATTCCATGGATTCTGCAGGTCTTGCAGTTCGTAGGTGCTGTACTACATCAGCCACGCTTATCGATCTGCCTCTTCAAATAAGGTATGGTACAGAATTGGCTACTTTGGCTAATGCAGCAGCAACAACATCCGTGTTTGCCGTGCTTCCTACCCTCGCCGACAGCTCCGATAACCCCACCGGAGATGGAGTCATAGCTGTCATAGGTTACCGCAGAGGGCAATGATCCCTTGGGATGCTTCTCCAGCTTTGACCGAGCGCCTTCTTTACGGTGGAGCTGCTCCCCCTCCAAGTGACGTAGGGTCTGGGCCATGGTCCTCCGGCCTCTTATTCATATTGAGGTTCCCGGTCTTCCTAATCGTGCTACTCATACCTTTATTCGTGTTTCCTCATTATCAATCATCGCAGTACACTTCATCTTCCCCCGCCCCCGCACTTGAAGACTTCCGCTTTGACTATTCTATCTTCCTCAACGCTTCCCACCTCGGATCTCACTGCGCGCGATCATGACGGATTTCAAATTCGCAAACTCTTCCGAAAAGGTTCCTGGTGATGGGAACCTCCCCGCCGAGTTCTCCATCAAAGCGAGCCCCTCAACCGACATTTGGGCCAAGCCTCCTTCCACAGAGTCTTTCAACGCACCCATCCTGTACAGAAGCGTGCCAGTGCAATCCTTCAAGAGGGCCAGGGTCGCATTCAATGCCCTCTGGAAACACAAGTACGATCAGGGCGGCGTGATCCTGGTCCTCAATGGCGCCGATGGAACTCGAAAATGGGTCAAGTCCGGCATTGAGCTTGCCAACGGCAGGCCACATCTGAGCACTGTCGCCAAGGACCGGTGGGCAGACTGGAGTCTGCAGCCTGTGCCGTCAGGTGGCGGAGCGGCCACCCTGGAGATCGTCCGAGAGTCGGATAACAGCTTATGGATCTATCTAGTTGAGGGCGTTCAGAAGTCTCCGCTTCGCGAGGTGACCTGGTTTTTCGAAGACACAGACGTGCAAGATTTTTGGATTGGACTTTATGCAGCGAAACCTTCGAGCGAAAAGGAGGATCTGGCAGTTAACTTCGGCCACTTGATTATCGATTTGGCTGAGTGAGGGTTTCCATAAGACCTGCGGTTGAATGGGATCCTGGCGTTGTCCATAGACATCTGATTTAGTGTATCTTCAGAAGCACAAATCTCCAACATTCTTCATATTGTGAGAAAGGATATTACTACACATGGCTGTGCCTATGAAGAGAAATGGTAGGTCTGTCGCAATCAGCGTTGGTGAATGCAGCATGCGTTGTGGCTGTAGTCAGCAGGTACAGGATGCTCTCACTGTAGTTATGCCATTTTGACGGCCCTACCATGACCTCGAACCTTGCAGTGTCTAGCTGATTGGTCGTCTGACATGCATAGTTTGCGAGGTATGCGACTCATTTCCGAGGCATTTGCCCCAAGCCCATTTGATGCAAGACATCTTAATAGTTCGACGACAGTTTCTGAGGGACATGTTTGAACAGGCTTGTTCCGACCTGACTATTTATACATCGTTGAAAAGGGAGTCTGGGGATCCTAACTGTTGTTCGAGAGTAATCAGTTCAAAGAACAGACAGACCACATGAACAGAACCAGCAAGTTGTTGCACTGTGTTTCACCCGACTTTAGACACCCATCAGATGGAGGAAGATAGACTTCAGCGTACAAATGGATTTGTGAGCAAGATCGTAGGCAATACACGAATCAACGACAAGTATTTGTGACAGCAGCGCCATTTGTTCTCAGCAACGCAAAGCCAAATATCCTTCTATAAATGCTCTCTCTGTTTGTGAATTAAGAGCCGAGATCTGGCCATGCTTTTCTCGAAATCGCCGAGCAACCCTCAGGGTCACGCTAGAAATCACCGACATGTCGTACAGAGGAAACATTAATCCCCGATACAGGGCCTTGGCTTGCAAGCATTGATGGACTAAGAGTGGGGAGGGATCATTTAAGGCTCGTCACAGCTCGAAGTGCACCGACCACCTTCGCGATCTGAGGATATTTCTTCGTTATTCTCACAGCGGCTTGGGCGGGAGGGAGTTATTAGAAAGTACTATAATAACTCGCAGATGATTCATGAGCGCGCCATCTCATCTGATCGTCGTACTCACCCTGCTCGGTCTGTTGGTGGTGTGGTGGGATAATGACCTCTGATGACAGGTTGGGTTGGAAGACGCGGTTGCTCCCGAATCATCCATGATCCATTCTTCCCCGGGCGCGCTTTGTAAACTCTTGAACCCAATCAGGAAATGGGTCCGGGCTTCGTTCAACATTGATGTAGGTCGGTTGGGTTGGGTTCCATGTGCAAGGGTTTGTGAAACGGGAAAAAAGAGGAAGTGGAATTTCATGCTAAGCACTTTGCAAAGGGTCGAAGCCGCATGAGGAGCCCGGTGAGATGACAATACCTCTCCTTGGATTGGGCAACGCGATCGAGTCATGCAGAGAGAGGTGCAAAGCATTCCAATCATCATCGCTTCACAGAAGTCTTTGGGTCGATAAATCCAGTTTCCAAACAGGTTTGTCGTGTCTGCACGCATGCAAGGGGGCGGAAGCGGATGAAGCGGCGATGCGCAACTTCATTCTTGCTTCCAAGTTGTCCAAGCAGAATGCCAGCCAGCCAGGCGGTCAGGCTGGGTGGGACATTCATCTACACTGCTACATACCTACTGGGAGGTACAGTACTGTTCCCTCTGCAAGTGGTAACCTGAAGTATAGAAATCCATCTGAACTACAATGTATAAGAGCTGGTTGATACCAACCAAACCAAATACCAAAAAAAAAAAAAAAAATTAGAAAATGAGTATCGGAGAACCACTTTTCCCTTAGATCTCCACGGACCAGCCCAACCATCTATCCTTCACCACCACCACCATCATCTGATCCCGGCTTTTCCCTCCCCCCCCTCACACTGCCGCTCGGTCCGACCGCCGGACCAGGTGATCTTATCATATCTGATGTTCTCTTACACTGCGTAATATACGAACTTCCCGGTCACTTGCCACACTATCTTCCTTCCCATCCCCACCCACCTTCCGCAACCACCACGCCTCTTTGGGGTGAACTCCTGCAGTCGAAGCCTTCTCTGCAGTAAGGCCAGGGGTACCGACCGGCTCTTGTCAACACTCGATATCACTTCCCTCCCCCCCACCTCCATCTCTATTCTCTACCTTGGTCGTCCGCCGCGTGTAACCAAACCTTTGTCAATGAACTGCCTGGGGCGCAAGGCACAAACTTTTGTCACCACTTAAAACTTGCCCGACAGGCAATATCCGCCCGCATTCGACCTAACGATTGGTGCTGGATAGAAGCGAATTTCGACTTTTTTCTTTTCTCTCTCATCCAAGTACTCATATCTATTCGCTGCAGCAACTCTACGAGTGCCACACTTCCCTTCTCGGCCACGGGCGTTCAGCCCATAGGCTAAGTCCTAGCTTCCCACACCGACTTGCATAAGTGCGGCCTGTCGATCGTGCTCAGTGGTCTGAATCATCGTGAGGGTCTGATTTGTGACTGAAAGCCTTGGAGCTCGGCCCCTTGTGCTTCCTCCTGCACCACAGATCTGGCGATCCACGCGTTGTGCTGTGTATCGACTTGACTGTCTGCATCTGGTTACCTAACGCAGGACTGGTACCCAAACCCATCTGACCTTGACTCAGTGTCCACCAGTCTATTAGCTCTGCCGTTCTGACCTATACCCCTCATCGGGGTTTATTCCTAGTCTCTGCGCTACTTGGATTCCTCCTTTTCGTTGGTCGCCTGTTGATTGCTTTCTCTCTTGTCGGTTGGATCTGGCTGGTTCAGGTTGCAGAGACTCCTTTCCGTCCGCGCAGCCTCGCAAGCGTCAGCTTGTCGCCTTCTCTCTTCCATGTCGATGCTTCGGCTTTAACACTATTCAAGCTCCTATCCACATCCTACCTTCGCCTCCGAAACCATTCACAACCAGAAACGAATTCTCCCACGGTCGGTTGCAGTAAATGGACCTTACCCTCAGTGCGATTCCGCCACTCCATCATACATCATTCAACCCGGCACACCCGCGATGCCCTTACTTGATTACCGCTCGAAAGTTTCATATGGCACAATCAGTCAAATGGATCAATACAACGAAGAAGAAGGAGAACATCTTCTCCAGGCAGGATATGTAGCAGGTGGGCATGACAGCGATGTAGAGTCCTCGGGGGATTCTGTACAGGAGGGTGTCAGGAAGATCGAAGCAATCAACCTGACCTGGACCACACGGTCTTTGATCATAGCATATATCAGGTTCGTGTCTCTGGTGTTTGTGAAAGGTAACTGAGATCTTGATTGCGTATATGTACTAACTATTCTGAAGCATATTCCTCATGGCATTTTGTACATCACTTGAGGGTCAAACTGTAATGTCCCTTTCGGCATATGCTACAAGCGCTTTCAGCAAACATTCGTTGATCTCAACCGTTCTTGTCGTTCAGAATGTTGTTAATGGTCGGTACACTGCCTGAGGCCGGATACCCCTAGTTCTGGCTGACCGTTCATCGCAGCTGTCATCAAGCCACCAATGGCAAAAGTCGCCGATGTGTTCGGCCGTTTCGAGGCCTTTTGCGTCAGTATATTGATCTACGTTCTCGGATACATCCAGATGGCTGCATCAACCAATGTTCAGACATACGCCTCAGCTCAAATCTTTTACTCCGCCGGTTCAACTGGCTTGCAAATATTGCAGCAGGTCTTCATCGCCGACAGCAGTAGCCTCCTCAACCGTGCACTTCTTGCACTCTTACCGGAGCTTCCCTTTCTAGTGACAGTCTGGATCGGGCCGACGATTGCAAACGCGGTGCTTGAGCATACCTCATGGCGCTGGGGCTACGGCATGTGGTCAATAATTCTGCCCGCTTCGTTTCTTCCCTTGGCACTCTCACTCTTGCTGAACCAGCGCAAGGCCAAGCGGCTGAACCTCATAAAGCCCAGGAGCGCTCACCGTCGAGGATTCTTTGCCGCTGTTCGCCACACTTGGTATGATCTTGACATGTTCGGCTTGATTTTGCTGTCCGCGGCAGTCACGTTGATTTTGGTTCCCTTGACACTGGCCGCCAATTCCAAGAATGGGTGGAAGAACAACAGCATCATCGCCATGATCATAGTTGGTATAGTCTGTCTCTGCGCTCTACCCGCCTGGGAAAGCTCGAAGAAGTTGGCTCCCAAGCCCTTGCTTTCCTTGCACCTCCTCAAACAGCGTACTGCTCTGGCAGGTTGTACTCTGGCTTTCTTCTATTTCAGTATGTCAATCTCTGCGAATTACCCCGAGGCTGAATTCGACCAAACTAACATTATTGAAGTGGCATTCTATTTTTCCGTTCAGCCGTATCTCTACTCTTATCTCCAAGTTGTCCAGGACTACGATGTAGCGACAGCGGGCCGTGTGACCCAAACTTTCGCTTTCACATCCACTATTGCCGCCTTTGGAGTCTCGATATTGATTAAGTATACACGACGTTACCGCGTCTACGTCACAATTGGCTGCGTTATATATATTTCTGGGATATTCCTGATGTTGACTTACCGGAGAGAGGGGAGCTCACCAGCTTTGATTTTGGGGACCCAGGTGATAGTCGGTGCGGGCGGTGGGCTCCTCAATGTACCTGTCCAACTGGGTGTTCAGGCCTCCGCCAGCCACCAGGATGTTGCAGCCGCCACGGCAATGTTCCTTACCTCCATGGAAATGGGCGGTGCCGTAGGAGCCGCCATTTCGGGCGCCATCTGGACACATCACATTCCACGCAAACTGCAGCAGTACCTTCCCGATGAGGCCAAGGCGGATGTTGGTGAAATATTCGGAAAGTTGACCAAAGCACTTTCTTATCCCATGGGCTCGCCCGCACGAGTGGCCATCAATCGGGCCTATCAGGAAACCATGAACAAACTCTTGGTTCTGGCGCTGATTGCGACCATCCCATTGATCCCCCTGAGCCTTCTCATGTCCAATTATCGGCTCGACAAGGTATGACACCCTGAAACCTGTGGCGCTTATATGACTAACGGGAGCAGATGAGCGAAACCTCGACTCATGAGCCTATTCCTGCAGAAGCCGAAGCGGATGAGCCTGAATCCGAGGCACACTCGAAACGATCTGAGCGTTAGGAGGTGTCTAAACCGGTTCTTGTGCATGTATAGACACATGTAAACGAAACTGCTCTCACGGGGGAACAGCGAAAAATGCTTGTCGACCAGCATCTTCCCTGTCGATCTCCGCGCCAACGCGCGGTAATCCTAGTGTACTAGGGGTCAACAGGCGGCTACCTCCCGGCCGTTACATCGCACCATCCCGATCGATCGACTGGTCATGGTATGGGACCGACACGACCGTTACCCTGGCTTGAATTGGCTTGCAGGGGTAATTGTATATGAAGTTATGACGCCTGAGCTGCAATGGTGAGAAATGAATCGTCACCGGCAGAACGACAATGCGATTGCTTTCGATTGAAATTTGTATAGATGACATGATTAGATTAGATGATCTTTTGTGAATATTTGTTTATTATGAGCGAGTCAGCCAGCATACATACACATGGGACTTGGGACACCACAACGGGATTTTGCCGTAGTGGGCTTAAGAGAGTCGGCAGCGCCGCGGAGGGTGAAGTCGATGGATGGATAGACAGACCAGACTAGCTAGGTACTCCTTACCTACTCCGCCTAGTCAACTTACGACCTGCGGGAAGTCATGAAACTTGGCATCTTGCCGAAATATTTGAGTAGTGGGTAGCCATGCTGGAAGTTGGGAGGACAATCCGTTATGCTACAGATGATACCCAAGAGGCAGGCTGTCCTCGAATCAAGTGTGGTTGATTGTGTCTGTATCAATTGGCATTTCCTCATGTGCCAGCAAAGTTCTTCATGCTAAATAACGGGTCGTTGTTCGCTATGATTTGTTCTCCTTTGGCGCGTAGGAGTCGAACGACTAACACTCACTGCAGTGGTCTAGCCAGAGCTGTGCGGTCAGCTGCAATTGGTCCAGACAGGACTAGTGTCCCAAAAGTAGTGGATTACTCGTACTGTCTCATACCGCTCCCATACCATTCTATCTCGTCTATCTCACCTTTTCGGATCAGGATGGCGGTATTCTCAGTACCTTACTTGGTAAAGCACTGTGGGCCATAGCTGGAGCTAGATCCACGGGCGGTATCCATCGCCTCGGCGCTGTCTGTACAGACTCCGTAGTCTCTATAGATGCTTTGTTTCTTCTATAGAGCGACCCTTTGTCTGCTACAGCTTGTTGCTCGGTCTCGTCGATCAAAATCCCAGGGTCCTGGCTGCTTGTGTTTCAGCCAGGGTAGCTGTGTTTGTTCATCTGTGACTCCCTATCGATCCTTTCTCTAACTCGTGCCTCTCTTGCACAGCTGATTGTCGCCTCTTATCTTCTCTGCCAGAACTGTCGCAAAAACCCTCTGGTATTGGTCACCTCCTGGCACATGACCCAGTGAGTGTTGAGGAGGCGGCCTGGCAGCCCTTGGAACCAGTCTGCAGGGCCGTAACCGATGCCGTCAACACAGCATAGCACCCTCAAAGGAGCTTGAGGACGACGCAGAGGAAGCTCCGCCAGGGCTAAGGTACTTCATTGAGTAACGATGATATATTTGACTGCATTCATTATGGTGATTTGTGTGTTCTGTTGTAAAACAGATGCCTGGAAGACGTGTGTAGCAGTTATAGTATTTTGACTTCAAGGCCTGAATTTGATGTGATGGTTTGAACACGGAGCCGACAGCGCTTATGTTTCATCGTCCTCTTTAGTAGGACGGGAGATTATGAAGAGATAGGAAAGGGAGAAGAGACCGGTTCAAAGATATTTAAACAGGTAGAGAGCAAGAAGAATTGTGGTTTTGCTTTCTTTAGGTTTACTTAATGACTGAGCTACATTAGGTATATACAGTACAGCAGCAGGAGCTGAATAATTGAATAGAGCTCCAGGCTCTAGCTACTAGGTACCTACTACCTACCTGCCTTACCTACTAGCCTACCTAGCCTGCCTACCTTACCTTACCCACTCCTAACAGTAAGTACTGGCTACTAACGGTGCGGATTGCCCCATTGCAGCTCTCCCACATTGGCTGGCTTCAGTCTCCCTCTCCCTCCCTCACCAACTCCAGCCCAGCCCATTCAATCCCATCCATCCACACCTCCTCCGTCTGTCTCTCCCCATCTCTCCGTCTCCCTCCCTCCCTCCCTCCCTTCCTCAAGCTCCTCCACACTCCCATTATTCCTATTATCTTTTCACCGTCAAACTGTCACCACAACGCACACCCATCGATTAATTCTATTTGTGATTCTCCGAATCTACCTACACACTCAAGCTCTTTGTCTTCCCTCATCACCTGCGATCTCTGCTCTGTCTTATCTTAGCCGCCGTACTCTTTCCCGGTCACCTACCTCCCTTACCATCTCATCTTTCTGCCTCCCTTTTAATCAATCTCTCTTATTCTAATCCACCTTCCGCACCCCCCTCCCCTCACGGTCTTTCCCCCCCCCCCCCTGTTCACCGCATTTACCTTTCCTCCTGTCCACCTCCTCTCGGACTCCGACAACCTTCACTTGAACATCCACTCAGCCTCTTTGGTGACTTTCTTGGGTAGCCCAAGGTTTACAATATGGTTGTAGCCACAATCAAGTACGTTCTGCTATTCTCTTTATTCCTTTTGCCCACCCCCTACGATGCTCGTCCCGCTCTTTCATTTACCCCCCC